CGGGCGGCGGGGCGCGTGCTCGCCGCGCTCTCGCTCCTCCGGTCGCCGTCTGCCCCAGCGCATCCCTTCCCCGCGCGCGGCTTCTCCTGCTCGTCCTCGCCCGCTCCCCGCGTCGCGAGCGGCAAGATGGCGGCGCCCAGGCCGCAGCCCGCCCGGCTGTCGGGCGTCATGGTCCCTGCGCCCATCCAGGACCTGGAGGCCCTGCGCGCGCTCACGGCGCTCTTCAAGGAGCCGCGCAATCGGTAACGGCACGGGCGGGCGGGGCGGGCGGATCCGGCCGCGGTCCCAGTCTCCCGCGCGCTGCGGCCCAGGCCGGCCTCTGCGGGGCGCGGAGTCGGCGTCCCTGCGCTGCCGGGGGTTGGCACCGGCTCCGCAGAGCCCAGGCCTTGCCGCCTCCGGAGACACCATCGCCAGCCTTTCGATCTAGACGATGCCAGGAGCCCGGCAGACGTGGATTTGGCTGCAGGCCTCGCCGGCCGGGTGTTAGGCACGTTCCCCGAGCCGTGGGTTTGTGGCCTAGACGTGGGAATAGAGCGTATAACGTCATCTCTGGATTGTGTAGAGGGTCGGATAAAAAACAGCCGGGCGAGCGGTGCGTGAAGCCCGCAGTCAGCGCCTTCTCGATTTTGTTCATTGTTCTCTGGGCTTGTTTCCCCCTCTGTTGGATGGGAGTAATGTTGAACACGTCTCCCTGGTGGGCTTGCCACGAGGCTTAGAGACAAGGCGTATTTCATCCCGAGGACCTGCCTAGCGCACACTAGATAAAGGTTAGCTGATATTGACGTTTAACACATGGATTGCGGGTCCCCGTGTTGTGCTTGTGAAGTCCTTGGTCTTTCTTGAAGGGAGCTAAAATGATGCGAATCCTGGGGATGTGGACAGAGGGCCGAGGGCACAGAATTAAGAAAGGAAGACCAGGTGATCATGAACTGTACTCCGGTCTCTAAGCGAGGCTTCCCTTAGCTTCAATGGCAGTGGGAAGACAGCTGCTGACAGCCCCAGGCCCCGCTATTTGGGCTTTTGGGGAGGTATGTTAAGGAGTATAAGATCCGAGTGGATTTGAAGCTTAGGCATGGATCTGCCCATCTGCCTCTCCCAGGACACCCCCCCCAATCATGAGCCATCTGTTAAACACTTGTGGAACAGGCTCTTTGATGGGGCCTGAGTGTACCAAGAAGAATGTCACGTGACTCCTTTATCAGGCGGTCAGGGCTGCTGTGCAATCCAGTCATAAAGGAGGTCTGTGCAGGAAGGGGGTGCTGGCACAGAGGGAGCACAGGGCGCTGGTGCTCAGATCCGTGAGCTGGGAAGGGCTGTAAGAGTAATGCGGCTGCTGGGTTACAGATGCAGGGCTGGCTTGTGGATGGCCCCAGATTGTTTTTGCAGAGCTGCAGAGAGGATTAAGTGAGGCAGACATTCAATGTCTGGTCCAGGGGAGACATTCAGGCATGAGTTTGCTTTTCAAAAGCTGTTGGAGAAAGTTCAAGGCCTTGAGCCATTTTACAGTGTCTTTCTTGACTTGGTCTGTTGTGAGGCAGCTGCTGGGGGTTTGTTGTAGGGTTTTTGGGGCGGGGGAGTTGTACTGGGAATCGAACTCAGGATCTCACCCTTGTCAGGCTGGCACTGCACCCCTGAGCTAAATCCCAGGCCCCCATTGTAGGGGAGTGGCATGAGAAGATTCTTGTGCTAGGCCTTTGTGGTTGCCATCCTAGGGAATAAAGGGATACAGTTACAGGTGGGGTCTTAAGCTAGCGCAGAAGCCCACATGAAAAAGTGCCTGAATCAGGATGTTGGGATGGAAAGGGTAAGTCCCGAGACATGGCTGTAGGACTGGATGGGCTGGACTCCAAGGCCAGTTGTGTTGCTGGGGAGGGATGAGGAGACCTGGCAGCTAGGTTCAAGTTCTGGGATGCTGTCCTTGTTCCAGGCAGTGTGGAGACCAAGAATGGTGCACTGAGGGGCAGGTCACTGGAGGGATGTCGAGACTTAGTTGAGGGGTAGCGCAGGGAGCTCTGAATGGTCTCTGAGGACAGGTAGCTGGTCTGCTCCGTCTGGTCTTGTCTGAGAGGGTGCCTTTAGTCCTGACCCCACAGGGAGGCTGGGGGTGCGATTTGCCCTTGCTTCTCCTGGGCGGAGGGTGATTCCTCTCGTAGGGCCTAGTGGCGGTGGCCAGCATGAGCAGGAATGCAGAGGGACTCCTGGGGAGGATGATCAGGGTGCCAGCTGCTGAGGAGACATCAAGGGAGGCCGAGTGAGTGAGTCCTTAGGGTAGCAGGAGGCAACTCCAGACACGGTGAAAATGAGGGGCCAAGGAAGGGAGGAATTCGAAGCTCCTCGCCTGTTCTTAGGGGAGCTGGAGCTGAGAGGAATGGCAGAATTCATGTGCTTTGTGGCCCTTGGTGCCACAAAAGAGGCACTGTCTGTGGTGGCTCCAGCAGCAGAAGTGTCACAGTGGAAGAGCAGTGGTTTTGGATCTGCGTAGACCCAGATCTGATTCTGGCTTAGACTGTGAACCCTGCAAGTGGGTGGTAATAACCCCTTTGCTGGACTGTCGTGATGGCCTGGGCTATTATGTGGGCAGCAGGGTGGCTTATGCACAGCACATGCCACTTACATAGGATGGCTATTAAGTAACTCGGCTCTAAGCGACTGAGAACCAGGCTGTTTCATCCCCTGCCTTATTGGAAACAATTGAAGCCATTTCAGGAAGGTGATACTTTATTCCAATTTTGAGGTTTCCAGAGGAAAGGAGAGAGATCCTGGGGTCTCATTACAGAGTTTAGCAGCCCCTGACTGAGAGGAAATGCTTCCATCCCATTGGAGGGGCTTTAAACATGCCCACAAATTCTTTTCCTGGAGGAGGCAGGTTTTCCCAGGATGTGGGCATGTGACTCCAGAGACAAGGTCCTGCAGCGTGCTGCAGCTTCTTGGCCCTGCCTTGGATCATGCCGGGACCCAAGGCTGTCGTGGCAGCAGGATGCTCAGCATTCCTCCTGAGAGCTGTGGCAGGGCCAGGCCTGCTGCCTGAGCCACGACCAGCCATCTCGGAAGTGGACGTCCCGTCCCCATCAGACCAGCAGCCGGGAGTGCGGCCTGCAGAGACCCGAGCTGCCTGGACCTGCCCTCTTGCCTCTATCTGGGAGATCATAAATGTCATTTTAAATTGCTGAATTTTGGGGGTACCTACAACAAGTCATGAATATAATCTGAAGCATCCGTGCTCTGTGTCAGACCTTGTGCAGCCCTCCAGCAGCGCTGTAGTCACTGACATTTGTGCGTTTTATCATAAAGTGTCAGTAGTAAGTCTTCTCAGCTGCTTTTTCCTCTGTCTCACCTACTTCGTATTTGTTTTATCCTTTTGTTTCCTGTTGATACCTATGTAGTTCATACTTGTTAACAGGTGATTTTTATCCCCCATCTCTGTGCGGTGTGTTACTGTAAGCTGTGTCCCTTTCCAGAGCAAAGTAAATGAGCTTAAAATTCTGCTTTGGGTCTTGTGAAGGTTTTATTTTCCACTTTTAGCTTTCTAATGTCTCTGAGACTTCTCGGGACCCCACATGTGAAATGGTGCCAAGCAGGGTGGATCGTCACGCTTTATACCCGTGGTGTTCATGAGGCGGCCACTAGCACGTGGAGCTATTTAAATTCAGATGAATTAAAAATAAGTGAAAGTGATGACTCAATACCTTAGGCACATTTTTAATGGCTGCACATCTGTCTCGTAGAAAGTTGTGCTGGGTTTAATTCATTCTTTTTTTGTGGGGAAGGTTGGTGTCCTGGCTCTTCTTGAACATTCCTGAGCTAATGCAACTTTTGAAATGGTTTGCTACAAGGGCCGGGAGATAGCTCAGTGGAATAGGAGCTTGCCTGGCAAGCACAAGGTCCTGAGTTTGATCCCTGGTACCACAAAAAAAAAAAAAACAAACCAAAACAACAACAACAAAACCCTTCTAAAATTGTTTTCTACAAGTTCTCGTATTTTTTCCTTCATCTCACAAGCATGTCCCCTTCACTGTGTCCCTGGCACCAAGCACAGACCTGGTAGTGGCCGCTGCCTCGGCTCTGGTGCAGGTGGTGTGTGTGTGTGTGTGTGTGTGTGTGGCTTGTTATTCATTCAGCTTGGTGCCTTTACTTATGTAGACGGTGATTTTCCCAACATCTGTCAGTTTGGCTTTTTTCTGTTTAGTCTGCGTCTAGTCAACACCGTTTTTTCTTCCAAGTTAGTGTATTAATAGTGCTTTTCTCCATGCCTTTAGCTCCTTTACAAGCTATTTTTAAAAAAGCACTTGGTGCATTTTCACAAAGAGATGTCTTAGTTCTCTGGCTCCTTCCACATTGGAGGATGTGAGAGCGCAGCGCTGTTCGGTGTTTGTGGTTGTCCAGTTTGGATAGTTCTTCCTGAGTGGGATGTCTTTCACCAGAGTGGTGCCACCTCAGCTGGTATTTCTGC